CTTGGTAGTCCAGGCTGGCCTCGAACTCACAGAGATCCGCCTGGCTCTGCCTCCCGAGTGCTGGGATTAAAGGCGTGCGCCACCACTGCCCGGCTAGTGTCAGTGTCTTTATTAGTGGCACCTCTTTCCCTGAGGGGACTGTAGTGCCCAAAGCCCAGAATCAGCCACACTGCCCTTCCCCAGCCACACTGTCCTTCCCCCATCCCCCCCCAGCCCCAGCATATGGTCTGCACCCAGAGTTCTAGAATATGCACCTGGGTCCCCAAGGCTAGCACCTTGATTGTGGAGGGTCAGGGGCCTAAGGTTTTGTACCCACAAATCACAGCCTGGGATGTTCCCAGCTCCAGAAATACTGCCTCCCTGATTCGTCTGAGCCATAGGCGTGTTCAAGGAAAGTTGGGGACCCTCAAGCGTCTTTCCTGATTGATTAGCTTGTACGATATGCTCATTAATTCCCTCCATTCTGTTATCTCTTTCCGGGGACCCCGACTCTGAAGTCCACCAGCTTCGTCATCCAGATGGCTTCTCCGGCCAATCCTGCTCTACCCAAATCCCGGCTTCCTGTTCACCGACCCGTCTCAGGTTAGTCCCAGAGTGACCCAAGAGGCTGGATGCCTAGGGCTTTGGTTTCAACATCAGCCTTCCACCCACACAGCCTCTCCCAGCAGCAGCAGTTCAAGCCTGGAACCAGCTTTCAAGGTCTTCATAGACCTGGCTGCGGGGCAGGTAAGGGTAGCGGGCACAGATGGTGCAGAAGCGTTCCCTCCAGTCACCCAGGAGCCGCACACGGAGCCGGTCTCGCCAAGCAAAGAAGCGCTGATAGCGACTCTCATTCATGCTGACCAGGAAGACAGCCAGCTCGCGGGCTGAGCTGAAGTCATCCACGTGTACAAAGGCATCTGGTGGCACAAAAGCCTCGTAGGTGGCCCGGGGAGGTCCCAGCACCACAGGCACAGCACCGGCTGCCAGCGCATTGCGCCAAAACTTCTCGGTGATGTAGTCTCGATGCTGCGAATTCTCAAAGGACAGGTAGAAGCGGTACCGGGCCACAGTGGGCAGCAGACAGTTAGCGCACAGCGGCCGTCCAGTGGCACGTCCAAACACATCCACCCGCAGGTGAGGGGCCAGCTGCCGGTACAGCTTTGCACGCTGCTGCCGCTCCTGGAAATTGCTGACCACCCAGGCAGCCATCTTGCTTTTGGCCGGCAGTGGGGGTGTAGGCCCAGAGTAGGGCTCCAATCGACCGTAGGGTACAAAGATATCTGAGTCACGCCGATAGCTCAGCACCCAGTTGAAGATGCCTCGGAAGTGATGGAGACCACGGGTGTTGCTGGGAGATTCCATGGAAGCCCAGACCCAAGGCTGTCCACGCGGCCTCTGTTTCAGGGGCAGGCGAGACTGCAAGGTCTGCAGCTCACGGTGGTGGAAAACAACAGCGTCTGCGCTGGCCAGCAGGCTCCGGTTAGCACTCAGGAGGCAGCTAGCCACGCCGTAGCGAGAGCAGGTATCACGGGGCAGCTCTGGGGGCCGGTCGGTGAAAGGCCAGTGCCAGATAAGGATGGTGACCGTGGGCTGAGGCGCTGGGGCACCCCCAGGAGCTGATTCCAGCTGCCAAAGGAGCCAGAGGGCCATGAGTGCTGCACCTCCAGCCAGGCCCCCCCAGGCCCGCAGCCTCCGGGTTGGGTTGCACCCTGAAGCAGGATTTTAAAAAAAAAGGAGAGGCCCTTGTCACCCTCAGGGACACAGGTAAATCCCCATCATCCCCCACCTGGGACGCCCCAAGGGCCAGGCACTCACCAGCACAATTCATCCAGAGCTTCTGAAGTCAGTCACCCAAGGAAACGAGGTTTTCAAATCACAGCTGCCTCCCCAATAGAGGCACCCTGAAATCACAGCTGCATCTCACTCAACTCAGGTCCTGATGCTTTGCTTTCATCTACCCAAGGTGAGGGAAGCCAGGGCCCTTCCCACTTCTGCCCCGCCCTATCCCTTCAGTTTTTTGGCATCAACCACTATCTAATCCTGTCCTCTGCTGGAAGAGGGAATTGAGACAGGAAGAAGACCAAGCCAGGGCCCCCTGCCCAACCCTGCTGGTCCCTGGAGATGACCAGCTAGGCCTACAGAGGAGGGACAGGACGCCTGCTTGCCCTCGGGAGAAGGATAGCCCCTTCGTGAATATGTAAGCAGAAGTGGCCCCCTCTCCAGAGGAGCACCCCCATCCATGGTCCCACCACACAACCCCAGGACACCCGAAGACAGCAACTGCACTTCCCCAGGAGGCCACAGAGGCCCCTCCCTGTAGTGACACCCACTTCCCCCAACTCCCCAGAGCTGGTCCTGTTCCTGCGGACCCTCGGGCATCACAAACTGCTGTTCTCAGAGACCGCGGCGCCCCACCGCTGCCACCTCCAGGCACTGCCTTGTTCACAGAATCACAATCCTCAGAAAAGGCCCCATCACAGTCTGATGAGACCTCACTTAGCACATGCCCTCCAGGGCAGACTCAGAGCTGCCTGCGCTGGACTTCAGGAAGGCCTAAGGATGCACATCTCTCCCGGCCTAGGGACCTGTGGGCACACAAACCTGGAGCTGTAAGCTCAGCCCAAGGTCCTGGGTGGACTAGGAAGAGCTGCAGGTCACTTCCTTTCTTGCTGCTGCTGCCCCAGGAGGGGGCTTTCCAGTCTGGAAAGGGAAGGAGTCTGTGTGTCCCTGACGTGGACAGGCAGACTGGTGGGCAGGGGCTGGCATCCACTCCAGAGCAGGAAGGCTCGTCCCAGCCTCAGGTCTTGGCTTGGCTGGCTTCCCTCCAGCTGGCCCTGGTGGCCTAACCTGTATCTTGGAGATAAGATTCCTCTCCCTCTCACCCCCGACCCCCAATCTGGAGATGCAATGACCCAGTACAGGCCCGGGGGGGGGGGGGGGTAGCCTGGCAGGGTCACCCAGAGCTTTAACCTATACAAGGCTTTTAGCCAGGGTATTTCAGCTTCCTCCATCCCTACCAGATCCACCACTCTGCTGCCCAGGACACTGTGGGGTCCCATATGGAGAACAGCAAGCTTGCCTTGTCCATGTCCCCGACCTCCAGGAGTTCTGAGAGAAACTTCCAGATCTGCTGCCGCAGGGTCCCTTTTAGGGACCACCTCTTACACTTCACCCAGCCCTGCCCTGTCTCACTGCTGGGCTTCCAGGACTCCTGGCCTCCCCTAGCCATGGTCCCACATGACATGCTGCTGTTGAGACAGGAACCAAGTGACTGACAGTTACCATGGTGGGGGCAGAGGCCAGTGCGGGCGAAGGTGACTGTTTGGCACCTCGGAGGCGCCCCATCCCCCCAGTGCAGGGTATAACCTCCAGATTGTGGTGGAGAGTTTGCGCAATGCCTAAAGGGGAAGAAGGGGTGAGATCAGAAGCCATCTAGCTGCCTTGAGATACGACTGAAGGTGGCCACGGAGTGGGCAGCTGCGCCCTTGCCCTTCTCATCCCTCGGTGCCTGGTGGGATGACCACAGTGATATCTGCCCTTTTGACTCCGCCCCTGGCATCTCTCTCCATCTCTCCCCAAGCACGGTGACCCCCAAGAGAGCCACACCCTGGCTTCAGACCTCACTTCACCCCACCCCACCTCTTCTCCCTGTGGCAGGAACTCAGAAGGCAGTGGGGGACCTGCAAGAAGGGGGCCATCCTGCCAGCTTGGGGCCACAGGCTTCGGGCTGCCAGAGCCCTGCTGTCCTTCCTGTTTGTGCTGCCAGGCTGGCTGGGGCCCTGGCCCCGGCCTCACCCACACCTGCAGCTGGTTCCCTTCCTGGGTGGACTTGAAGGAACCTCCCCCACATCTGCCTTAGTACTGTCTAACTCCCCCGTGCCAACCCCGGTTGGCAGCTGCTGGGGCCCCTGATCATGAGAACATGCTAACTGGGAAATAGATTCAGAAGTTTGGCCCAGAAATGGCTCAGAATGAAAGAGGAAAAGGCGGAGGGGAGGGCTGAGACAGCGTGAGTCAAAGGGAAAGCCAGGGGCCTCAACATACCACTTCATCCTCCCGACCTCCCAACTCACTGGGCTGTCTGGGAAGCAAGGGCACCCAACCCCCGCCCTGCAGTTTGGAGCGCACGGGATCAGGATCACACAGTCTACCCAGCCTAAGAGACTCCATGGACGCTCCTCCCGCCAGGGCGCAGACAGCTGCACCCCTGCACACACAGGCTTGGGGCCCACAGGAGGGTGAGACTTGCCACCTCTAAAAGTGCCTGCCCACCTGCCTGATCCTCACCCAACCTCCAAGACGGGCCAGATGTGTGCCTCGAGCTCCCCCTGGTGGCCATTCTCTGAAGTCGTCACCTGATTGTACTAAGGAGGGAAGGAGCTGACACATGCAACAGCGTTCTGAGGACTTGGATTCAGGGCTTGCCTTTGGGAAAGCATAGAGATGGGGTCTTGTAGGCTTGCAGGGAGTAAAGGGGACGTCTAGGGAGCGTGCTGCTGAGAAGTAACATGAAATGGTATCAGGAGCCAGCTGGGCAGCAGGCGGACAGCCCTGAAGGGCGTGGGAGAATTGCGGTCTCTCGGCCGCTCCTCTCCCATTCTTTCCCATTAGGCCTCTGGGGAATGGGCATGTCCTTGTTCTTGTCCAGGTGCAACAGTTGGGTGAGCTACAGATCTGCCAAGAGCTGTTTCTCTAGGGACCCACGTACCGCACCCCAAGTTTTGCATATCCTTTTCTGTTTTGCACTAGGACACTCTCCTCTGGGCTGCATAGCTGTTGGGAGGCTGAAGCTGGGGCGCCTAGAATCAGGGGTCACTTCCTAGCTTCCCAGGCTGAAGGACATCACCTCCTAGGGGATGAAGCTGGGAGGACCTATTTGTGTGTGTGTGTGTGTGTGTGTGTGTGTGTGTGTGTGTGCGTGCATGCACGGAGGATATGTACCACCTTATTTTTTTGAGACAGGGTATTTCACTGAATATGGAGCTCACCAGTTGGCTGGATGCCTAGCCAGCAAGCCCCTGGGATTTCTGGGCTTTGGGGCGACAGACACACACCTACACTCCTACCACACTTTTTTTTTAATTACATTGGTGTGGGGGTTAGAGAGATGGCTCCATGGTTAAGAACACCAGCTGCTCTTCCAAAGGACACAGGGTTGATTCCCAGCACTCACATGGTAGCTCACAACCAGCTGTAATACAGTCCCAGGGGATACAACACGCTCTTCTAACCTCCAAGGGCACTGCACATACGTGGTGGGCAGACCTATGTGCGTGCAAAGCACCCATCAACACATTTTTTAAATTAATGACATTTGGAGATGGAACGATGGCTCAGAGGTCAAGAGCACATACTTCTCCTGCAGAGAACCTGAGTTCAGTTCTTTTTTTGAGTTCAGTTCCTAGCATCTATTGTGCGTGGCTTACAACTGCCTGTAACTCCAGCTCTGAGGGATCTGACCCCTCTCTCACCTCTGTGGACACCCACATGCATATAGCCACACAGAGACACACGTACGTAGACATACATTTTCATCTAGAAATAAAAATCTTTTTTTTTTTAAGATTTATTTATTTATTAGGTATACAGTGTTCTGTCTGCATATGCACCTGCAGGCCAGAAGAGGGCACCAGATCTCCTTATGGATGGTTGTGAGCCACCATGTGGTTGCTGGGAATTGAACTCAGGACCTTGGGAAGTGCAGCCAGTGCTCTTAACCTCTGAGCCATCTCTCCAGCCCTAGAAATAAAAATCTTTTAAAATTGCATTTATTTATTTGGTGTGTGTGTGTGTGTGTGTACACGTGCATCTGTGCCACGGAGCACTTGTCAGATGACAATGTGCTGGAGTCAGCGCTCTCCTTCCCTCGTGTGGGTTCCGGGGACTGAATTCTGTTCATCAGGCTTGGTAGCAAGCGCATCTACCTGCTCACCTATCTTGTCAGCTAAAATCTTTTCAATTACATATTGCTTATTTGAGTGCGTGTGTATGTGGGTGCGAGTATGCATGTATGGAGGTCAGAGGACAACTTGCAGGAATCTCTTCTCTCTTTCCGTCATGTGGGTGTCGAACTCAAATCATCAGGCCTGGCAGCAGGGGCCTTGGCCCACTTAGGCCATCTTGCCTTATATGGATGCTGTGAAGCCCAGGTCCTCAGCTTGCATGGTAAACAGTCTATGAAAGGAGCCAGCTCTCAGTCCCCGAAGCCAGGAGACTCTGTTTCCTAGGATCACTGGCTACACCTTCTGTTCCACGCACGCACGGTCTCCTGTAGCGGGTAGCCGGTCCAGCTTTGACCTGGAAGTACCACCCCCACTGAGGCTTCGGTCACTGTGGTTTGGCAGCTTTGTCCAAATGGATGGGGGCCACCCAGGTTTGTGCTGAGGTAGAGATTATCACCCTTTGGCATCTGTGCTGAGTGGCATCTGGAGGTTCCGCTAAGAAGACAAAGCAGCTGGAGCAGAGGCATCCCCCTGGGCCTCCTCTCCTGAGAAGCAGGGAGAGGAGCTGGGATCCTAGGGGCCAGGACTGCAGAAGGCTCAGGCGGGCTCAGGCCTCTGCTGTGAGTCTGGCTTCTTGTTGGAGCCAAACAAAGCACACAGCTCAGCAGGGGTCCTGGGGCACAGAAAGGAGAGCAGGTCCACTGGCCCAGGGAAGTAGGGGAATGTGGCTCTGGGAATGGCCAAGCTATGTTCCTTGCCCAAGAGTTGACTCGCCAAGCCCTGTAGACCCCAGAGTTACCCAGCCGCTCTGAAGAGTGGGCAGCAAAGGGGGGCATGCACTGAGGATATCCAAATGTCAGGACGGTGGGTCTCTAGCACGGACCAGCAAGGACATCACCGCAAATGTTGTGGACCACCCCCTCTGGACTGAGTCTGGAACTCTGGGAAGCCAGCCCCCAGCTCTGGCTACGGCGCCCCCAGTGAGACTAATGTGCTGAGCCTCAGGTGGTCCTTTACCCCGGGTGAGGCCACATCTCTGTACACCCCAGTCCTCTGTGGTCATCTCCCCTGCAGGCAGGCAGATGAGTGACAGTGAACGCCCAGAGCTATGCCCAGTGCTCAGCTGCCCCTCCATCCTCTCCCACACCACAGCCCAGAGGGAAACAAGCTTAGGACAAAGGCCAGCCCAGGGTCACAATGAGTGAGAGGGGGGTCTGCTGTGGGGGACTCTGGCTCCCAGAATACACTGCTCTGGATAAACCAGTGGCTTCACGCAGTGTTGATCCTATTTCTTTTTTCTTTTACTTATTTCTTCCTATGTGCATTGGTGTTTTGCCTGCATGTGTGTCTGTGTGTTGGATCCCCTGGAACTGGAGTTACAGACAGTTGTGAGCTGCCATGTGGGAGCTGGGAAATGAACTTGGGTCCTCTGGAAGAGCAACCAGTGCTTTTAACCACTGAGCCATGTCGCCAGCCCCCATTGACCCCATTTCTAACTAGTCTCCCCCCAACTCCTCAGGGACCGGCCTGTGCCTAAGCAGCTTTGTCCCCTGTTGCAGGGTTGTCTAGAGCCTGCACCCTCTCCACCCCACACATTCTTACGGGTTTTCAATACAACCTTTGTCCTGTCATGTTTGACTAACATCCCTGTTCTTCAGGTCCATCTACTGATGGCCTGATTTCAGC